AAAAAGATTTTATTTATTTATTTGACAGAGAGAGACACAGCGAGAGAGGGAACACAAGCAGGGGGAGTGGGAGAGGGAGAAGCAGGCTTCCCGCCTCGCAGGGAGCCCGATGCGGGGCTCCATCCCAGGACCCTGGGATCATGACCTGAGCCGAAGGCAGATGCTTGACGACTGAGCCCCCCAGGCGCCCCTGATTCCCACTTTAGGTGATGTATTCTTGCTACTGTCTCCTCACTTGGCTTCCAGGCTCCACTGTGTCCTGGCTCCTTTTCTTCCCCGTCTCCTTTGCTGGGCCCTCTGTCCACCCCTTGAACACAAACAGTCCCCACCCCTCTGCCCTTCGCTCTCTTACTGTATAGACACTTCCACGAACCTTCCATCCGCTGCTCTGATTTTCCCACCAGTCATTTCTAAGTGTAGATTCTAGCCTTGGCTTGTCCACGCGAAGTTCCCGTTTCCCCCCATCTACCCATCCCCTGTCCCCGGTGTTAGCCGGTCCACCAGGAACCCAGTCTGTCAGCTGGCACGGCGGGAGGTCCGTGACCCTCTCTGCTCCTGGGCTTAGCCCTGCCCGCCGGGTCAGCCCCTGAGCCCTCTCCACAGAGCACCCACCCATCCCTGCGGTGTCGCAGCCCCAGCCGTGGAGGAGGCACAGCTGTGGGAACTGAAGCCTGGAGCTGCACTCTGAGTCTGTGTCCTGGCCCCACTGGTTTTTAGCTGTGTGACATTCCTGAGCCTCAGTTCCCTCATCCGTATTACAAAGATCAAACAAGATGAGGCTAAATGAGGCTCCAGCGTACAATGAACACTCAGCGCCTGTCACTGCAGGAGTGGTGCCCAATGCGGCCTGTTTGCGAGAAATACATCTCCGCAGGCCCTGTTTCCAGCCCCTGTTGCCCTGGATGGTGAACACAGTGTGAGTCAGCTGGGATTGCCCCCTCCTTTCTCCCACGGTGGAGGCCAAATTGGAGGGAGTATGAGATGCTAAGACTTAGCCACCTATTTACAATCCACCTGGCCCTCTCAGGCCCAGGGGCCCTCAATCCAAGTAGAAGGGGGGTAGCTCATCCAGGTCCTTCCTTTCTGGCTGGGTTGGGGGTTTCTGCACATAAGGGCCTCATTACACAACTGTTCCCTGTCCTGGGCTGCCCAGGTCCTTCCCAGAAAGCAGGGAGTGGGACCTCTGTCACCAGGAGTCTAGATTCTCTCTACTTTCCTGCATGGTGAGCAAAGGAGACCCTTCTGGTCTCAAGGAACGCCCACCCTCTTCAAACCCCACATCTCCTTCCATTTTGTCTCAGCCCTGAGTCTCCTCTGCTCCTCTGAAGGTTTGGATATTTTCGGTTTTCTACCCTTTCAAATCTCTCCCCTGAGGCTAGGCGCCTAGGCTGCTTTGCCGCTTGACTGGGGCATTGGTGGGTGGGAGGGAGGGCAAAAGGAGAAATACCGGATGGGGGAGGCCTATTAGATAACATAGCAAAAAAAATTTTAGGGCAAGTGTCATGATGTTTTTACTAGTTCAGACCTGACTGTCTTTTGCTTGTGCTGCTACTGTAGGTCTCTGCCCCTAGCCTCACCCTGCTCCAAGCCCCTGCTGCAAAAGGAGTCCTCCTAACATACAAACCTGCCCTTGACCTATGTGGAAGGTGTCCTTGGACTGTGGCTGCTCCTCAGCCCGCTGCCCGTGCCCTTCCAGGCTCTCGTCCCGCCTCTCCCTGACTGAGCTCTGTCTGTCTGTGTGACTGCACTGATTTTCATTTCCTGAACCCCCTCCTTGCTCTCACACGTGCTCTTTCGCTGACCGAAATGCCTCTCCTTCAGGCTGATGAATTCTTGCTCCCTCTCCAACCCAGATCAGCTGTCACCTCCACTAGGAAGTCTTCCTGCCCTTCACTGCCCTTAACCTCTTTGCAGCAGTGACCTCATCCCTCTGAATATCGCTGACCTCCAATGTATTTGACTTTATGTCTGTCATTCATTCCAGAACAGCAGGCTTTAGGGCATTAATTATGCTGACTTTTTTATTTTTATTTTTTCAGTAATCTCTACACCCAACGTGGCGCTCGAACCTACAACCCCCAGATCAAGAGTAGCATGCTCTACCGACTGACCCTAATTATGCGGCTTTCTCTCCGCATCCGCACCATCTAGTTCAGTGCAAGGTGGCCTGCAAGCTAGCAGGAGCCGAGAAGGCTACAGGCGGCGGAGCGGCGTTCGTGGGAACACTAGGGGGAAATGATGGCGGCAAGGGCAGCCGAGGAGCCCTAGAGGAACAGGAGACCGCTGGGCGGGGAGCGGAAGGCTGCTCCCACTGCCCCCGAGGGCCTCCTCCTCCGCACCTGGCGGCGCTCCTGCCGTGGCGCCTGCGCTGCCTGGAACTACAAATCCCAGCGGCCCCCGCGGCTCGGGCCGGAAGTTCTGTCCGGCTGCGGCGACGGTGAGGGCGGCGGCCCGGCGGCGGGAGATTCAAACCTGGAAGGAGGAGGAACATGGAGCGGCGGAGAGCGGGCGCGGACCCCGCGCTGTGTGAGTGCAGAGGGGCGGAGGAGGGCGGCGGGCCTGCGCCCCGCGGGGAGGGAGCCCCCAGTCGGGTCTCCGGCGGGCTCGGGTGGAACCGGGAGCGGCGAGACGCCCCCCGGCTCCGCCGCGCTTCAGAACGTCCAGAGCTTTCTCCCTCGTCCCCAAATTCTGGGGCTGGGCGAATGTGGGTGGTTGGATGGCCCCATAAGAAGGCAGCAGTTACGGATGGCAGGCACGCTTGCCAGGCGCCTCCAGGGGACGGGACGCCCGGGGAGCTTGGCTTTCGATGCCGCGTTGAGGCCGCGTCTCCAGCCGTGGTGGGAATTAGCCGGGAAGCTTGTTTCCAGGGCACACTCCTCAGCCCTGCCCCCCGGCTTCAGCTCCAGCGGATCGAGGCCCTTGTCTGCATTTGTTTTTTATTTTTTATTTTTTTAAAGATTTTATTTATTTATTTGACAGAGAGACAGCGAGAGAGGGAACACAAGCGGGGGGAGTGGGAGAGGGAGAAGCAGGCTCCCCGCAGAGCAGGGAGCCCGATGCGGGGTTCGATCCCAGGACCCTGGGACCATGACCTGAGCCGAAGGCAGACGCTTAACGACTGAGCCACTCAGGCGCCCCGCCCTTGTCTGCATTTGTAACAAGCACTGTGGGCTTCTTCCCTCGCCCCAGGTCATCATGCAGGTGGTCCACGGACCGCGCTTGCAAAAGCACTGCTTTAGAAAGAGACTGGGGTCAGGGATCGGACGGCAGAAAGGCTGCTGTCCGACCTTCTGAATGAAAGGCAAAGTCTCCTTCTTCCCGCCCTTCCCCTTTCTTGCCAGTAGGGTTCAAAACACAAAGTCCGTGTTCTCGCATCTGTGGAGGGAAAGCTAGTTCCAGACCTGAGAAGCACAGGAGGACCAACTTTTTCCAAGGCTCGTGTGTGTGTGTGTGTGTGTGTGTGTGTGTGTGTACAAAGCCCTGCCCGTCTCACACAGCCCTCAGTTCATAACTCTGAGGTGATGTCATTCGCTTACTGGTTTATTTTCCGTGCTTAGCAACCAGCGCTTGTTCCTTGTACACACCCTTATAGGAACTGATGGATTTTCTACAGTTGGCTGGTGCTTTCGGATCTGAACGTGGACGGGGTGTGTGTGTGTGTGTGTGTGTGTGTGTGTGTGTGTGTGTGTGTTAACTTGCTTAACTGCCAATTCCAGTAAGCCCTGCCCCTCGTCCAAATCATGTTGCAGGATATGCAATATAAGAACATAAGATAAAGAGTAGGATTAACATTAAGTGTTGGGTCAAAGACAGACTTGTCTCTCTTCAGCCCCTTCTGTTTATTTCTTGTGTGTGTATGTGTACAACTTTCTCTCTCCCTGTCTGATTTTGTATTGTTTTCTCTAAGGAGACTCGAAAGGTGGGGGACCGTGAAAAGGGAGGAGAAAAGGAGGCTGAGGCTAAGGCGGAATATGTGTGCTGTCTCATCTAACGGATTTGGGGATCAGAGGATTGTCTGTATTTTATTTAGCTTGGAGATTATTTTCCTGCTCAGGTGACTTATACCAAAGCGGAGAGTAAAGATATCTTTGTGATCTTTTAAGATTCTCTGTCCTTCCACTTAATCCCAAGTGAGTGCCCTTTTCCACATGGTTCCCTTTGTTGAACTACCTTTCCCCCTTTCCACCTGTTCATTCTTTAAGATCCTACTCATGGGTAGAACCCTTTGTTTCGTCTGCTGCTTGCATGATCTGTGATTATAATCAAACCTGTCACTTTAGGAACTGGAATTTTTCCCTTATATGTTTTTCTTCTCTAATGCTAATCTGTGTTTCTTGAGAATAAGGATCCACTAGCCCAGGGCCTGACAGATAGAAGGTAGTGCATGAATGAATGGTTGTTGAATGATGATTCCCAGTTGGTCCTGTTAGCCTAGCCTCTGGGAGGGGTCCAGGTCATGGAGAACTCAGGGGCTGTTAGGGATAAAATAAGGGGCTAGGTTCCCAGCCGTGGAGGAGTCTGGACATCTGTGCTGGGAGCCCTGAGGGAAGGACTTGAAATAGATGGGAAGGAGGGGTCAGGAGATGGCTGGA